TGCTCCTGTCCGACGCCGTTGAACTCAAGACCCCACCGACATGGGACGCTGTCTCATTGTGAAGGCGGCATTCCGCCTCTAATCATGACTGACTTGAGGTCACCAGGTGCTCATCGTAGTTTTATCATCAGTGCAGGCCCATAGCCAGGGCAGGGAAGGTCTAGAGGCACGACCCCCCCCCCTCCCCTTCATTTGCCAAAGTTCGGATGAAAGACGAATTGAAGGGGGGGGGGGGTTAAAGTTTTACCGAAGACGAATGATCAAAATAGGTGTTTTTCAAGGCCGTCAGGATGTGATCAACCCTCGCCCTCTACGGGCCTGCATGAGTGTTCAAGGCTCTTCTAAACTGCGTAAGTAACAGCCTTTTCGTTTGCGTCGTTTACCTAGAAGGGGTGCAGTCGTACGAAGGCCTGGAGCTGTGATTTTCGCGTCAGGTGTAAATAAGATATCACTGTGTCACGTGCATTTTAGAGGTGATAATTTATCTGTTTCTCAAGCAACGAAAATTGCGCTCTTAGACTACAAGTTGGCAGATGAGCGATCTCACCAGACGGCAATATCAGCTTTCATTTGGCAGAGACGTCAGTTAATTTCCGTGGACAGGTGAAGTTGAAAGTGTGTATGTTGTTTCTTTTATCAGTATCGTTAATCTTCAAGTGAAGTCCAAAGGCAACAGGCGCGCAAATAATTCCAAATTTATTCTATCAACATTTTCAACTTTATACACGTGTGTACAGCGCACCTTCACAAGGAGCAGGATTCCAAAACTACAGATCCAACGCAAATAAAAAAAAAACACTTAAACGGCACTTTTACACACTCGTCTAGTGCCCCGCCATGGTGGTATAGTGGCTAAGGTACTCGGCTGCTGACCCGCAGGTCGCGGGATCAAATCCCGGTTGTGGCGGCTGCATTTCCGATGGAGGCGGAAATGTTGTAGGCCCGTGTAGTCAGATTTGGGTGCACGTTAAAGAACCCCAGGGGGTCAAAATTTCCGGAGCCCTCCACTACGGCGTCTCTCATAATCAAATAGTGGTTTTGGGACGTTAAACCCCACAAATCAATCAATCAATCAACACTCGTCTAGCGTAAATCAATTCTTGATTCGACATTTTTCACGTTGTGCAAATGCAAGACGAATATACTAGACTTTTTTATATTGGTAATCTAATTTGCATGAAGACATGATTATCTGCACTGGCTTGCTGCACTGAATTACTACATAAGGCCGTGATCAGTTTAGACATTAGGTATAAATATCTACTCTTTAAACTGTGAAGACGTATTCAGGAAATTTGCATAAATGTACACTCAACCAGTGCTACGTCACTTTTTTTTTATTTTGAAGTTTGCCACACACCTAAAAGCACTTTTAATGTGTTTGACGGCTTGTAAAACAGTACTTCGTTCAGGGCATGTAGTAAGCTTTCCCATGTAACAGCCCAGCTGACTCGAACTTGCCTATGGCTTGCTTTTGTCGTCAACAACGTGCTCAAGTTTTGCTTGTCGCAATGCTTTCTTTTTTCTGTTCTCTTTCAAGCTACGTAGAACGTTGACTAAACAATCGCAGCATCTCTTGGCTGTTGATCTTGTATCTACGCCCCGCCGCGGTGGTCTAGTGGCTAAGGTACTCGGCTGCTGACCCGTAGGGCGCGGGTTCGCATCCCGGCTGCGGCGGCTGCATTTCCGATGGAGGCGGAAATGTTGTAGGCCCGTGTGCTCAGATTTGGGTGCACGTTAAAGAACCCCAGGTGGTCTAAATTTTCGGAGCCCTCCACTACGGCGTCTCTCATAATCATATAGTAGTTTTGGGACGTTAAACCCCACATATCAATCAATCTTGTATCTACTATATGAATTCCTGGATTCCTTTATCTGCTCATGCCACCGACTGTTCTGCTAAGTATTTGCCCTATCGAATATACCTCGTTGCCTTTAGCACGTTGTCTTTAGCGCGTTCTATCAACCATGTTTTCCATATTTACGCCACTCATAGCCTACCCACTCGCAAAACCGAAGCTGGAGCTAAATGTTTTTTTTTTATATTCAAAACCAGGGTATTGGAAGAGCTTGTTATATTCCATGGTTAAGTATGCTCGTTTGAACGTATACTGTCAGGGCTTCATACGAAAAAAAAATGACAAAGAAAAAACAAAACGAAATAAAAACCAAAAAAAGTCGTAAAAAGGTTTTTATCTTGTGAAATTTTGGGATGTGCCCAAAGGGGTGAGATTGCTTAATTTTTTGAACCACTCTGACCTTCGCCAAATTTTCTTGAACTCACGTGTTACAATGCTGCATAAGGTCTTTCTTGGATGCTTCAACAACCTCACCCGGAACGGTGGTCCTCGTGCAAACTGTACAAAAGGTTTGCCAAGCCAGATTACGGGAATGTTTTTTTTTTTCAAAGTAGTTTAGGTTACTTACCAAACAGTCAATTTGAAAACATCGCGCAGCCATGCTTGGCACTTAGCTAGAAAGTTAAAAAGTTAAAAGTAAAAAAAAAGTTCGGGCTCACTGCTACGGTGCCGCATTTCCGTACTTACCATAGGTTAAACAGTACTGGTATAAAACCGTACTCATTTTTTACGGAGAGAAACCCGGCGACAAGGTTGAACACGTGTTGGAACTGGGGACACCTAAAAGTATATTTTAGACGCATGTGTTTAAGATAACACTAATAACAGAAAGTGACGGAAAAAAAAATTTTCATTTTTTGCGAAGATTGTTATTGCGTTTGACTTAATACACCACCACTTGCACTGATATGTATAGAACTTATCTGAATACATTTTTCTTTTATGGAGGCACACCTTAATATAGCATACCGATGTCTGAGTTGACACACTAAGGTGTGCGATCGGAAGATTTATTGATTAAGACTTGGGGTTTAACGTCCCAAAACCACCATAAGATTATGAGAGGCTCCGGAAATTTTGACCACTTGGGGACCTTGAACCTGCACCCAGATCTGATCATACGGGCCCGCAGCATTTCCGCCTTCATCGAAAATGCAGTCACCGCAACCGGGATTCAATCCCACGACCTGTGGGTCAGCAGCCGAGTATCTTAGCTACTATATCACTGCGGCGGTGCGGACAATTTGAAGAACCATGAATAAACACAATGACAATGCTGGCAGCTCAGAAAAAACACGTGCCTTTATGTAAACTCCCCACAAGTATCGATTTAAGTGTCCAATGTAGCTAGGAGATGAAATAAATGTATCTGATTTCCAGGATATATCTCGCACTTTTTGCAGGACATGATTAGGGGTGCGTGGCTTATGCAATTAGCACTAGAGAAACCACACTAACGCAAAAATTTGCTTTAGCCAGTGCCCTGATGGAAACGGCTTCATTGTCAAAATGCTGCCTTAAAGTTTAATCGACTCTTGTTTGTTTACTTCAGTGAATCTCTCTGTGAACCTTTCGTCTTCTCTTATTACTGGGAGAGCTTCATGTGCTGACTTCGAAGCACATCTTAGTGCAGGTGTGGGTCATAACGCTTCGCGAATGAATCACTAAACATTACAGACTGAAATTGGGAGCAAGCAGAAGGTTTTACACTTCAAGGTGCACGCTTGTTCCTCTGGTATACCTGTCCTTATACCTCATCCACAAAACTTCGAAGTTTCTTTTTTCTGCGCTATCGAAAGACCCATTGGCCACTGGTGTCCTGAGATGTAGAAAGCATTCGTGACATATCCCCCTCTCATTTCTTTTTCTTTCTTTTTTTTCATTATTAATCGTTGTATCTCTCTCTCTCTCTCTCTCCGTGCGCGCGCGCGCGCGCGCGCGCGCGCGTGTGTGTGTGTGTGTGTGTGTGTGTGTGTGTGTGTGTGTGTGTGTGTGTGTGTGTGTGTGTGTGTGTGTGTGTGTGTGTGTGTGTGTGTGTGTGTGTGTGTGTGTGTGTGTGTGTGTGTGTGTGTGTGTGTCAGCTGTTTTCTGCTCCATTCTTTTTTCTTTCATGCGCACTTATGAACAGCGAATGAAATCAGTTCATTAAATACACGGTGCCTCGTGATAGGTGCACGCTTTTTTTAAATGTGGTTGATTACTCACAAAACTATACACGCAGGTGTATATCACGTGCAAGTGGTGCTGAACTTTGTCAGTGCTCCGAGCGATGATGGTGTCACTTCACCTATTGAATTCCAGCTCACTACTGCATCTGATTTCTGCCGCTCCTTGCTCTTTACGTCTTAGGTTACAGACATAAAGACACCTGTTTATACTATGGACATTTGTACACGGCTATACGTGAACGACACGTTAGCGTTCTTGTTGAGAGTCGCGCTATTATATACAGTGATTTTCATCGGTCGCTTGATGACGTTGCAAGTTAGTTCCCGAGGTAGCTTTGGACAAGGTCGAACACATCATTAAGGGAACATCTTATCAGTATTCAAACTGGCATAACTGAAATATTTATTTTATTTAACGAGAAAGATATCTACTATACGACGGCTATTCGGGGTGCCGACAAGCAGAATAATGTTCCAAACTAGCATGGGTGTTCAACGTCAACTTCAATGAGGACTTGTTACCGATTAGGTGTCCACCTTATATGATAAAGATCCGGTACGTAGACGTGAAAAGTCGAGAAATTCTCTCGCAGGTCATCAGCTAAAGAGACGGCGAAGCATGTCACGTGCAACGAAATGGTCATTCAACATGACGACTCATCTATACAGTGCCGCTAATAACTGAATTATTGTCCGATGTCACACTCCCGGACGACGGCCCATATTTCAGGGTTCGAAGCAGAACAAGTGAACAACAGCTTCATGCCGAAGCTTCACGTCTAAGTCAGCCATCCGGAGGTGTTTCGGATGTCCTTGAAGTGAACAGGAGGCTCAGGGTCGAGCCGGTGTGAGAGAAGCACGAAGCCTCTTCGTGTGGAAGCACATGACGTGGGCACAACATCGCCCATCAACACGTCCCGTTCTAAACACGGCCATCCACCTAGCTACACCGAGGCACATCCTGCAGCCACGATCACGTCACACGCAGCAGCACTGTCAGTGACGCCAAAGATCTCATGATCAAGACGAAGGTGCAAGTGACGCTTGGATGTGTTGACTGCGACGCTGACCCTGCGACAAAGTATGCGAGAATGAAGATGTAAAATACGATATGTCACTTCACGTGGTCGATTCTATATGCGCACCTTTGAAAAACTAATCTACAATCACTCATTCTCCCTCTTTTATTCTTGATGAGTGTATTTATCTCAATGCAACAACCTTTAACTTTTGTGTAGTGCCACCGCTGGATACGCGCCAGCCGATAGACTGACAATCCTTTTTTTTTCTCTTTCTCTTCTCTTTCCCCTCTCTCTCATCTTTATGTCATCTTCCCGTTCCCCCAGCGTAGGGTAGCAAACCGGGCATGTGCCTGGTTAACCTCCCTGCCTTCTCTATTGTTGTTCACCCCCCCCCCCCATTCAACTGTATTAGCGAAGCTAGAAGACGTTGTTAAGGAATACGTTACACACGTTCACATAGCGTTATTTTCATCCCTCGTAATATTATCGAATGCCCAGATAGCATACCTGTCTGTCCCCTCTTAAAAATGACACCGTGGTATTGAGACGCAAAACGAGAGATGTTATTATACTCAAAATGACAATTCCTGTAGCTCAATATCGTGCACTGGTGTGTTGTGAAAATCCTAGGGTTCTTTTTTTTTGTTCCTTACTTGACTACATATTAGCTTACGCCACCTGTTTATTGGCATCTGTGTGCATTACCGTTGCTGTGTTACTTCCGAGCACTTCCAAGCTATACCAATTCATGTACAGTATTAATCGTACGACGATACTCACTGCTAGTAAATATGCCACTCTGAAATGAAACCACGCATCGTTGAGCTGTACGGCCTTATCGTAAAAAAATAAGGATACAAAGTTGAAAGAACAGTTTGTTTAATAGGATAAAATTATACCAGAATAAAAATTCATGGAACCGTATGATTTCGATTTGTGCCCTTCTTTCGACCAGACATAATGCGTGTGCCCCAACAAGCACCAAGTTTGACGCAATTAGTTTGACTACGGAGCATGTACTTGCCTGAATCCTCTGGCAGAGAACCGGCCATCGCCGGCCTCAGCGGGAAGCTTTGATGCTTGGTAACAGCAGCGTCGGAAGCCTCAAGTTTTCCTTCTGGTCAGTGTAAATGAAAAAAAAAATGCGAGTAAACGTCGGTTAGAAGCATTTACAGAAGTCAGACAACGAATACCAATTTATGCGAGCAGGAAGCTGAGACGGAATAACAGCGGTTCGAACGTAGTTTCATGAATGCACATTACTTTTCAGTTACACTTGACCATTATGGTTGAATGATGGCATCCGTTATCTCCCATTATGACTGCTATTCTCGCGCCAAGTCACGTCACAATGCTCTGACAGAAACACACGGATCTCTTCTAGAAAGATGAACACAGTATATACCCATGTCGCAAAGAGGAAGTGAGCGTTTTCGTTGAGGTTTTGAATACGCCAATGCATTGAGAGAACGAAGCTTCCCCACGACCAGCCATCTGACTTAGAATGCTGAATTTTCTTCAGTAGTAGAAATTACATCAATGCCACAAACGTTTACTTCAGCACACACGTGTACTTCAGACTATACAGAACATCAAAGGGCTTCCCGTTCCGTTCTATGTAGCCTGTAGTGTATTATGAACCTATCATGGCAATACCAGCTAACCCAACTAATGCGTTAACGTATCTCAGATGTGCGAACATCTAATTTACCTTCAACGCTCTGTATTCTTGCTGTTGATGGCTCTTTGACTTTTGATGTTGGCGGAACGTGAATTTCTGTAAAAAAAAAAGGCAGCAACGTTTCACTAAATGCACCCGTGAAATGCAAAGCTACACTTGCATACTTGTACCCCACTTCCCAGTTTGCGTATAGGTAGTCTTTAACAGAAGGATGTGAGTTGAGTGCGCCATGCTGGAACAGTACCCGGGTACATAAAGTACATGGGTATACCACCAAGATGCCTCCTACTACTTTTTTGTTTATTTTGTTTTTTCTTTTGTTTTTTCCGCACTGTCGCTCATTAGTTGACCTATTATATCACGCAATACTTTGAAGGTTCTGGTTAACCGGCAAGGTCCGTGTTGCTGCACCATTTTTTTACCACCTCCTTTTTGTCTGACAATCTGGTTAATGCACACAGACCATTGCTGTAAACACCCGGTTTACCTCTGCGCCTTTTTTCTGTGCTTTCAGTGAGCCCCATCACTCGCGCTTCCTTGTTTCATTCTCCTTCAAACGGAATCAGCAACCGTCGTGAAAAAACGCGACCTGTCTCGTCCGTTCTTCTTCTTCTGACTTCCGAAGTAGCGGAGCACATCGCAGCCGACGCGAAGACACACGTCGACGACCCATCGGACTAATACGGACCAAGGCCAGGCGAACCAATACGAGAAGCTCGTAAAGAAGAAATTACGCAGGAAAAGAAAGATAGGGGGAGAGAAGGGGTGGGGGGAGCTCTCGGTCATCGTCTGACCAAAGTGTTCACACGGGCGGCAATAACAAACACGGAGCGGAAGCCATTATGTCGGAAATCCGCGAAATCGATCAGTCGTCCTCTCTCGTCATGTTTTTCTACATGACTCGTTCACGGGAAACCGGCGCGACGCTCCGTTAATCGGAGGCGCCGGCAGTGCGGCCGGGCGCGGCTTGGCGTCGTATACAGTATACAGTCCCATCGACGGCCACATACGGGACCCTATTTCCGGAAGAGTGTCACTAATGCTCGACGTGCCGCTCTCTTCGATGTGCGTCCGGAGAGGCACACTTCCTTCTTCTTCTTTCGCACTTTTGGGTCCGCGGCCGAATAGGATTGGACTTATGGGTCGTCCCATTGTGTTCCGCGCCTATCTCTGTCGCCGTATGCTCAGCGGTGATCATTGCCTCTCTACGACGGCGTATCGTGTATACGCGGTCGCCACAGCCTATACCTAGTATGTGCTACTTTCAGGAAGGGGTAAAGCTAATGCTCGGTAATGGCCGGAGAGGCCGCTTCGCCTGACGAGGCTGTGGCACTCGCTCCGATATGCTTCGTTGTGGTTAGACGATAGGTATTATGATATAGTTAGGATGGTTGAGCCTAGCACAGTAAAATGTGTACACAGTAAAGTGATCTGGCGATGCCGTGGCGGTAAAAGGGAGGCAGACAACTGGGCAAAATGGGAAGTTAAGGATGTAGGCGCCGACCGCCTAATAAGCTCGCGTCTCTCCTATTAGGGTTTACGCCGTACAAATCAGGTGACCTGTGCGATGCCACTAGAGTGTTTATTTGTGTAAAACGGATGCAAATGGTGAAACAATTGCGGGACCGAATAATCGCATTAAACAGCCATGTTAGTATGACGATGTGCAGTTTGCTTGAGCATTGAAAATGAGATGACATGCGTGGTTTCAAATAAGACATTCATATAGGCACGCACCTACCTCAAGAAGCAGTGCAATAGCTCGTACTTTTGACTTCCGCCTTAATATAAGTACACAAATTTTCTTTTGAATCTCGCCTCATCTGTTTACTAGTTGAATACCAATATTAAATACAACTTACTGACAAACAGTTACCTTCTATCTGTAATTAGTGCCCAAGGTCTAAAAAGTCATGTTGTTCCACTATGAATCATTGATATTCCTGTACTTTCGGCGGTAAGGCCAAGGTATGAGTCATTCCGTGAAAATATGATTTTATGCGTTTGACCCAGTAAGCAACAACAAGAACAAATTGTGTCACCTTTTTTTTCATTTTTACTTTTGCCCGATTAGGTCAAATGGGAAAATCAAGGAACACATCTTACAATTTGAAGGCAATTATCAAACAAAAATATATACGCTGGCAACCCTCCTAGGGTACATGTAGCATTTTTCATTGTCACGGGCGTTGGCGGAGGGGGTTGCAAAACGGGTGCTTTCCCACTTCGCCCCACCGTGATTCGACACGGCTTTGCACCCCCCCTCCCCCCAAAAAAAAGACAAGATATTGCCAAAGCATATGGTCATTTCACCGTTATCTCGTACATGCGCCTTCTAATTCTGTGTTCGTTGCTGCGAAATAAGTCTTCTCGGAATAACTTGACAAAAATATTTTTTTCGGCAGTGGAAGAATCGAGCGTGTTCACTTTCGCTGTTCTCAGCCACCCATACTGCAACATCAAAGAAAATGGAGCACGTGCTATGCTTACCGTACAGTCGTATGGAACCTTCAGTAGAGCCGAGCGAGTTCTTGGCAAAGCATCGGTATGCGCCAAAGTCTTCCGGGGCGATGCGGCTAATGTGCAGCCTCATGTGGACCTTGTACACGTTCTCAGTGCGATTGAGCGAATACTTGGGAGACTCCGCGATGAGGTCACCGCTCTCTAGAGTCCAGTAGTTGATCGATATGGGATACGCCTCCGTGTTGCAAATCATAACAACTTCACCGCCGAGTGGGGCTCCGATGAGTTGGTTGGGAATCCAAATCATCGGCGGAACTGGAATAGTGTAAATATAAATAAAGTGCTTCAATCAAAGGTCTCCATTCTAGTTTTCGAAAACACACATTCTACGAAACTTTTTTTGCATCATTTACGCTGTCAGTGAACCTCGCATGGCGCAGATTTATGAAGTATCAAAGCCACGTTCTTTTTTCTTAACATCAGTTGCAATGACAAACAAAGCAGGATTGTATTTCAATTGTTGTAGTTATGTTGTTACATGTATTCTTACGTCGTATTCTACCTGTTAATGAATCAGCGCACTATATTTCTAATCAATAATTTATCCAAGAGTCTATGTAGGGGAATACTTTTACTCACAATGGACTTGTAGTAGGATCCTGCGACTGACGGGCGATGGGACGCCATTGGATGCGATGCACAAGTAGGGTCCCATATGAAGACGGCTCACCTTTGTGATGCTCAGTTCTTCACCTTCATAAGAGACGTCTGGAAAGACAAGTTCGTAGTACAATGACTTAATGTGATTTCAAACATTTGATTAGCTAATAACAGAGAAATCCTGTAAGATGTGACACACTGCAATATTCCAGCCTTAACTGCTGTATGCAGACGACTGTAGAAAAGCAAATCGTACAAGTATCATGGTTAGGAGGGAAGTTTACTTGCTTAATTCCAAAGTCTACAATGACGCTCATTCACCTGACTTCGCTCTATAACCATGGTCATCTTGCAGAGGGAACATGCTTCACAAGCCACAATTGCAAGTTCTGCAAGCAGCTCCTACACCCAAGCAGTACGCTGAAGGAAACATTAGGAAGCTCGCATAAACCCGTAATGTTTTTTTTTTTTCATAAATGAAAGTAGTTCGTTTTAGCGAAAACCTTTACAGTGCAAGAGCCCAACTTTTTCGAGGTTTTCGTGGTTGGACGTGACATTTTTAAACAAAAAGCAGGCTAAAACAGAGACAGCTAACTAGTTCGAGAGAAAGCTATCATTAATCTTAATCTTTCTTTTTCAGTATCACGGAGCAATTGTTCACCGTTTATTTGTTTTTGTTTTTTCATCTCTTTCTACATCGACTCAACTGCAATGGAGTTTCATCGGTGCTGTCACGTTCTACCGCTCCATTAAGCGACAATCCGTGTATAGATCGAGTTGTCATGGCTTCGTGCACTAGTACGGGCCTCTCGCGTATACATATCAATTGCGGTTCCAATCTGCTGCACTGACTGTCTGCTGCAGATCCGAGCTGCTCCTGCCAGTTTCCCACGGCGATGGGCGTTCCGTCCTCCCGTCGCCAGGTGATGCGAGGCGCCGGGTAGCCCTTGGCTCGGCAAGAAAGCGTCACGTTAGAACCCTCGCGCACAAGCACGTCGGAGCTGCTCTCGCTTCCCACGATATCCGGGGGCACTGCATCGACAAAGCGTTAATAGTTGGGTCAGTCAACTGAGAAAAGCTTTGTAGACAACTTGCGATGAGCGCGAGTTGTACTTCGGACAGGAAATTTGCAGTGGCTTCTTCAAATCCGTGATTACTCTTCATGTCCTGCGGCAAAGCGAAAAAGAGTATGCGAGAAGTCGGACAGCCAAGACTTTGGTCTCTTGGCTAATCCTACCATGATATTAGCATAAAGTAGAAGAAAATTTTGATTGAAAGAAGAGAGAGAGAGATGAAGAGGAAGGCTGGGAGGTTTGGTAGATATTAGTATCAGTTTGCTACCCTGCGGTGGGGAAGTAGGGGCAAGTAAGAGGGTATGGATGATGAGAAAGCTAGCTGAAAGCTCACGGCGAGCCTTTTTATATAAATACTTCATCATTGTTATTAATTGCCGCGTAAGTATAAGTGGCCTTCTAGCTAATAACGGTGGTCCTCTTGACCTTGAGAAATTAAGCAAGACAGACAGACAGAAAGAAAAAAAGAGAAAGAAAGAAAGAAAGAAAGAAAGAAAGAAAGAAAGAAAGAAAGAAAGAAAGAAATAGTAAAGCCGCAATACGCGCAAGCGTGGCCATTTTTTGGTATAGAAAATCTAATTACTAGTCTACGAGCAAGTGGTCTCCTCTTAGAGGGATACACCCGCGACGTCTTGCATGGGGGGCTGGCCGAGCTCATGCGAGTCGTACCGTGCTATGCACTCGCGCGCGCGCCAGACCGAATCGCGTGACTCCGCGCGAAGCGTAAGGGTTGGCGGAAATCGAATTTTGTCCCACCACGGCGCCCTCCACACCCCTCCGCTGTCTATGCTCGCAAAGAGAGCGATAACACGTCACGCTCCATGGACTCTTTGTCTACTTGCCTTCTCGGCTGTCTATATACATAGTGCTTATTTTCACCCATGCCTTATACGTTTTTCTCCATCTCTCACCCCCTCTCATATAAACGAGAAATACATGCTTTACTCGTGCACTTGCGTAATGAAAAGAAAGCAAATGTATACGAAAAAAAGAAAACCTTGTCTTCGTCGCATAATGCGTGGCGCTCGAAGTTTGTTGCAGTCTAAGTACACATTTACCGTTGACCTTGGTCTAGCGCTTCGTTCATAATAAAATGGCCTCGGCCGGATAGGCCCCGTAAATAATGTGCAGGAAAAAAATCCAGTAAATCACACAGCGATTGCTGTGAAAGAAATAAGCCTGGCTATATGTTTCGGTTCGAAACGGCTTGCAGTTTGAGTGTAAACAAACTGTCGCACCCCTCCCTACCACCACCCCCCAAAAAACAAACAAATACAAGTGGCGGCTGCCTTCGTATGTTGGTCATGAACAACTAGCGCGGCCAGCTAAATGCGACGACAAAACTTAAAGCAAAAGATCGGCTTCCTCGCTTTTCGGCGTGCGTTTAAAATGACCTTGCGCCAAAGTGGGCGACAGTTCAGGTTATGATTTATATACGCAATCTCACAACACGTCAATTGTACTACTGTGTCATAGACGTGAGAACTTAGCCTAAACGTTTACGCATCTTGTATTATCCGAGCCAGGACTCGCGTTCACGAACGAGCAAGTGCGCCTTGACGTTCCAACCACGCAGCCTTCTAGTTGGGAAACGCGGAAAAGGAAACCATGGCTGAAAAGGTGGTGGCGGTAGTGGTTAGAAGATGAGAAAAGGCACCTAATTTCTGCAACCCGGTCGGGAGCACGGCGCAGTGCCTGCTGAAAAGGAAACGTTCACTCGTGATGTAGTGGCACCATCTCTCCTTTCCCTGTACCCTCTCCATCAGCACTCCTTGCACTCACTTCACTTTCCATCCAATCGCTATACTATACCATAAACGCATATGCTATGATACTCTCCCTCCCCTTCTCTCGCCTTCACAAACCTTTTCCATCCGCTTGCTGTAACTTTCAATGCTATACATTGTTTTGCCTCGCCATTGTGATGCGACATTATATGACAGCATGCTCCTTTCCTCCTTTGATTCTCACCGCCACTTACTTTTCCCGCACCCTTCCTATGCAGAACTTTGCTATAGGTCGCTGCGCTATACCTGGCTCTGCCTGCCTAACGCCATACATGATTATGCTATGCTTTACCCTCTTCCCACCTCCCTCTTCATATACCTTTCACATCTCTTTCCACCCACTTGCTAGACATGGCTATTCTATACATCGTATTGCCTTCGTGACGCCCTACTTGGCTACGCTAAGCTTGCAGCTTTACCCTCTCTCTTCCTTCTCTCCCTTCCTCCTTTCCATCTTCATCCCTCTTTCATTCCCTTGCTACACATGGCTATGTTATATATGGTTCTGCATTCCTAACGCCATACATAACTATGTTATGTTTTACCCTTTCCCTCCTTTCCATTCCCTCGTCATGCATGGCAATGCTACGCATGGTATTGCCTGCCTAACGGAATGCATGACTACGCTATGCTATTTACCTTCTCTCTCCTTTTCCATCCTCCTCAGCCTCACTACCCTTTCTCGCCACTTTGCTGTGTATGGCTATGCTGTACATTGCTATACTCTGTCTAACATCATACATTCGCTATGCTACGTGTTCACTTCTTCCGTCTTTTCCATCCACCTTACCCTTACAACACTCTTCGGTGTCACTTCCTTTCTGCACTCATTGGTATACAGGGCTATGCTAAACGTTGTTTTGCGTGCGTGATGCCAAGCGACGACATAAGAAAGATAGCGTAGGTAACAGCGCATTGCCTTCTACTAGGTCCTCCTTTCCCCCTTTTCTTCTCACCTTCCCGTCACTCCTCCTCAACCTCGCTTTCCAGACTAGTATGCTATACAGGTTTTTGCCCACGCCTCGCCATGTGACGTGAGACAGCGACAGAATATGACTGCTCGGGCACCAGAAGAGCTCCCCACTCAAAATTTTAGCGCCGGCAGATTCGCGAGGCAATAAATTCTGTTAATGAAGTCATTTCCTGGTTACTTGTGAAAGTGTTGCACGGCCCCTTTAAAGCTGCGGCTCAGTTCAAGGTATAATCGACTTCGACCTCAGCTTCACCTTTGATTTTGATCATCTGGACCTTACTTACACTTACACAGATGCATCTAATTATGGGTTAACTAAAATACCAACCATATATATGCGTATACAATACTATTCACTACTGTTGCACAAGTAGCTGTAGCTTCCAAATATACAGCCTGGAAAAAAAAAAGAATCTGCTAGAAAAGACCAAGCAGCACGACATCACATACAAACTAAATCCCGTATCCAATCAAGCGAGTGGCCAACCTGTTCGCCAATACCTAGCACGCATCGAACGCCTCGTACGAGCTGAGCAGTCGACGTCCTGCGAGCTGCAGAAGCAGCCCTACACAAAACACCCTCAGAAGCCTGAATAAAGCAGCTATCGGCTCACCGACGCATGGTGCGCAAGGCTCTCCATTTGGCACTTTTTCATCAGAAACCCTCCGGTAGCAGCTTCAAGACGCTCCCAAGGGCCTCGCAATGAGGAGGACACGTCTGAAGCGAAAGGAGTCAGCAAGAGTGTCTGCTGAGACGTTCCCAGAAGATGCGGAAGCGGTCATCGGGGAAGGCGGCGAGGAAGAAGGTGTGAGCATGGCTACGGGGGTCTCGTATACTGTTCGCCACCCCTGGTTGCTGCAGCGGCACTGTCGGGTCCAATTTTTGCGCTCGAGTGACACGCGAGACGTAGCCACCGGAGCGCGCCTCCTGATCCGGCCTGATTGAGAGGTCAGCCAACCAAATTGTCACGTGATTAACCCGGCCGCTCCCTCGCAGCAGCGCCTACAGCCGTGTGCTCCACTCATCCCTTCCACTTCTTCTTTCGCTGCTGCTGTTGCTCGGTATGCCATGGTCTATAGTGTGGTCCTCTCTCTTTGGACCGGTCGGCCCTCCGGAGAACAACCTAGCTCGCGGACTGCCATTATATTCTCGCGATGGGGAATGATATGGACAGGGCTGCCCCTAAGTACACCTCTCGAAGACAGGCAGCCGACATTGGTTCCTGCGCAGTAACAGCGAGGAAAACAGGCAGGCGTGAACAGGCAGCTCCGTAGGCAAGTCAGATTATTACGGGATTTGTATCTATCTATCTATCTATCTATCTATCTATCTATCTATCTATCTATCTATCTATCTATCTATCTATCTATCTATCTATCTTTAATACTTTCGAACAAAAATGAATTTCCGGCAGCTGAAAGAATCGACACATCTTCGCACTAGTTGTACCAAGCCTGACTGAAAGAAGTATGGAGCTGGGGGGCCTTTCTTCTCTCTCTTCTTTCTTACGCTTCGTATTCCCATTTCTCTTCTGACACTTCTTACCATTTTGTCTGTTCGTTTTTAAGTCTTTATATCTCTCGATATGTATTATTCACTCCCCCTTTTTTCTATGCATTTCTATTTTTCTTTTAATCTTGCTCTTTTCCTCTTTCTCTTTCTGTTTTTGTTCCTTTTTTATCTCTATTTCTATCGTTCTCTTTCTGCCTGTCCCTCTTCTCTTTCCATCCTCCTCCTTTTCACTTCCCTTTTATACCCCCTCGCTACGCTATGCTATACTAGGCTATGGTACGCTTCGCTATAGCGTGCATGGATAGCCGAGTCGTTACGACGCTCGGATTCGGATCGTGGTACACAGGTTTGAATATCACCTCACCAAGTGTTTCTCTCTTTCTCTTTCTTTCTGTCTCTCTTCGTTTCTCTCTCGTTTTCTCAGTACTCGTTCTGTCACGCATCACATGCCGGTCAAACTGACACCCCGCGTTTTGGGAGTGAACCAGAAGATGAGGAAGAGGACAAACAGGAAAAAAAGGCCCCGCCGTAGTGGTCTAGTGGCTGAGGTACTCGGCTGCTGACACGCAGGTCGCGGGATCAAATCCCGGCTGCGGCGGCTGCATTTCCGCTGGAGGCGGAAATGCTGTAGACCCGTGTGCTCAGATTTAGGTGCACCTTAAAGAACCACTGGTGGTCCAATTTCC